AAAGGCCTCTGAACTACATATCACTTGTCTTGATTAGCCTGTCATAGGCTGCAGTTTCCCTTGTGTGACCTTGAGTACATTACCTTCTTCAGCCCAGAGCAGTTCTGTAGAGTGGGCAGCGGCTGGGCTGGGAGTGTCTCTGCCTGGAAGGTAGATCAGTTTTTGTCTGCCACCTCCAGGTATACATTGATCAGCCTGGGTATGCATCTGTGGGTGTCCTGCTAGCTTACCTTCAGGGATAGACCTTTATATTCATTAGGGCATTCCCCTCTTATTCTTTTACTTCTCTAAAATAATTATAGATGTTGGGATTTTGGCTGGGATTGTTTTTATCTTTACAAATTAATTTGAGATGTGAATTTATATCTTGAAAAATTAGATACACACATAATTTGTTTAGGTCATTTATGTTTCCTGGTAGAATTTTACAGTTTTTAAAAATGTAAATCTTGAAGATTTATTTCATTTCTTTTCTTACCTGTGAATCACCAGTAAAAGACTTGACTACCGAAGAGTCTGTGAGAGAGGCTGAGCCTTATTTAACTAGAGTCCTTTTGGGAGAGGCTGCACATCATTTAACTAGATACAGAAGGAGCTAAACAGCTGAAGCACAGAAAGACAGCTTGACAATTATGAAAAACTCTAAAAAATATCTAGTCATGAAAACTTATTTCTTTTTGTTTTGTTTGTTTGTTTTGTCTTTTTTTTTTAAATTTCAAGACAAGGTTTCTCTGGGGAACCCCCAACTTTCCTGGAATTCACTCTGTAGACCATGATGACTTCAAACTCAGAAAGATCTTCCTGCCTCTGCCTCTTGAGTGCTGGGATTAAAGGATTATGCCACCACTGCCTGGCTTGGAAATTATTTCTTATGACTTTTTTTATTTTCTTTAAAAAGGTGATCTTAGCCAGCTGGTACCGGATTTATACCAAAATAATGGATTTGATTGGTATTCAAACCAAGATATGCTGGACAGTTACCCGAGGAGAAGGCCTCAGTCCGATTGAGAGCTGTGAGGGTGAGCTCCCTTTTCATGTCACCCAGTTGTCTATTGGACTACAGTAAACTTACTCCAGTCTTCGTGATATAAGTAACAACCATTTTATTTTGCTCTTGAATTCTACAAGTCCCAAATTTGGGCAGGCTGGTTTGCTTCCATGGTCACAGGGCAATCACATGACTGGGAAGAGTGGACTGAACAGGAAGCTGTTTTGGTCACATTTTGGCCCTTGGGCTGGAATAGCTCAGGTATTCCTGGGATATCTAGATGCCACGTTTCCATGGACTTTGAGCTTTTTCATAGCAAGGTACTTGTCACAAAGTAGCTATGCCCTTCCCAGGGTAGCTTCACTGGAGCTGGATCACTGTGGCTGCCGAAGCCCTCCTCTCAGAGGCCACGCTGTTACCTCTGCCATGCTCTGCCCAGCCCCCATCACCTCCCTACGGTGTACGGACAGCTTCAGCCCTGTCTGCAGACCAGCTAGCTGATTAGTACTGGTCTCATCCCTGTTCTGCATGTGTGGCCTGTTTTCATATGGGAACCAAGGAAACCATTTTTCTGGCAACCGTTTCACAGTAAGCACAGTTTAATGTAAATTGCCAGACTCATAACATAATTTGTGGCTAGAACATATGTTTTGTTTATTTTTAAAGGATTGGGAGATCCAGCTTGCTTTTATGTTGCTGTAATTTTTATGTTAAATGGACTAATGATGGCGTTATTCTTCATATATGGCACATATTTAAGGTAAGAATATCTTAGTATATATTTACAAAATATAATAAGTTATTAGTTAATAATTCTTGATAATTTATTGCTCAATTTTAATAGTGTTTTTGAAATATTTGTTTGTGATTGTCTGATTTCACTGTTATTATGGTAATCAGATTTTAGATTGTTTTAGAGCAGCGGTTCTCAACCTTCCTTATGTCGCCACCCTTTAATACAGTTCCTCATGTTGTAGTCTTCCCCAACCATAAAATTACTTCATTGTTACTTCAGAACTATAGTTTTGCTAGTGTTATGAGTTGTAATGTAAATATCTGATAAGCAATGAACCCCTGAGGGGCACATCTCTGAGGCTGAGAGACTTAAATAGAATATGGTGGTATATGTGGTAAATGCTAATAGAATATTTGTCATTTTTATAAAATATGAAAGTATCACTTATCAGATGATAGTGATGGCCATTGCTTTTCTAGTGTTAAAGCATACGTGTATTCCACACAACTCTTTGCAATCTGCCTATCTTCATAGTCAAGTAGTGTCTTGTAAACATAAGTTATGATAGTATTTAAAGGTTTTATGTTTATATTTTCCTTTGTATTTTGATGATTATTGCAATATATGTATATCTGAACTATTGTATTTCATTTGCGTGTATGTGCATGTGTGCATATGTGGATGCACATGAATGTAGGGGTGCATGCGTATGGAGGTCAAAGAACAATGTTGAATGTCTTAGGCATTGCCAAACATTTGAGACGAGGTCTCTTGCTGGTGATTCGCCAAGTAGGCTGGGCTAGCTGACTGGCAAGCCCTGGGAATCCATCTGTCTCCTTTTCCTGAGAGCTAAGATTACAAGCTAGGATTACCCACCTTTTTTCTTGGGTTCTAATGGATTGGACAGAGGTCCTCATGTTTGCAAGGCAAACGCTTGATGCCTAAGTCATCTCCTCAGCTACTTGAGCTTATCTGACCTTGAAAGTATTTTAGAAATTTCTTCCTACTGCTTGCTGACTGTAGTGCAGGACTGAGTGCATATGAATGTGGTTTTCCACTTGAGTTAGAGGAAAGGAGTTGGGCTCCCGTAGTGTCCTGTTATCTTCTTTGCATTTTCAGTTTAACTGCTTGAAGACCTCTGTTTTTAGGTCAGTGTTTGAGTGCACAGCAGTTACTTGATAAGTGCTTATCAAATGGAGAAGCAACTAGGTCAGATTGAAATATAGTTGCAATTTATATTTTTGTAAATATATACTTGTATATTTATAAATATTAAATGTATAAATTGTATTATATTAATATGAAGATTATATAAAACTATATAAATGTAAATTTATAACTAGCCTTTCACCCTTTACTAGAGGAAACATTCACATTGATTTCTTACCATGCTTCATGTAACTTTTATATCAAAGGTTATTGGCGTAATATCTGGGAAGAGAATAGAAGGTTCTGGAACAATTGAAGGGGTCATAGTGACACTGGCCCTGTACAACTTTCTTAATCTTTAGTCATACCTTTCCTGGTCAATAAACACTCTTCTCCATATATGCAATGCATGTTCAGTTCTTCAGTCAGCTTTTATGGTATATGCTAGGTAGTGTCTTCTAAAGAGTGTGGGCTGTCACAGGATGCGAGCAGGCAGTAAGGTGAGCATGGTGGCATAATGCATACCAGTGGAAGACAAGAGGCAGTAAGAAAGGGAGGAAGTCTAGAGTCCTGAGGAGGGACACGCTTGTTCTGATGGGAGGGACACTAGCCCAGCCCTGAAGAGTAAGAGGATTTAGATAGGTGGAAACATCTGGGAGATGCATCCCAGGTTGAGGCAAAAGCTGGAGCAGACAGCATGGTGACAGTTTGACCTGAGGGTCCATGTTTCCATGGGCTCAGAGGCAATCACAGTTACAGCCGTGGGTGAGCTGCATGATGAAAGCCTTAGTGCAGAGCTGGTTTCAAACTTACTCCAAAGTGAATGGAAGAAGATAGCAGTTTAACAAGCAGTGGGGTCGGGATTCAGGCCGAGTGATGATCTTAGAAGGTCCCTAAGTGCCATATGTCCCCAGAGGCACACAGTGGGCACTCAGCACATGATACTAGAGAGCACTACCTGCCAGGAGTGCTTGAAATCAGTTTTCTAGGTTGCCATGACCCAAGGCAGCCTATGGAGAAAGTGATTACTGGCTCACAGTCTGTCTTGGCATGGAGGCATCGCAGCAGGTGGCAGGCAGTGGAGAAGAAGCAGGCAGCTGAGAGAGCATGCTGGAACTAAGGCAGAGCTGGGGATTTTCAAAGCCCACCTCTACTTTCTCCAGTGGCCCATAGGATCTCTCCAAGCATCACCACACCCAGGGGCCACATTCTGAAGTGCCTGAGCCTCTGGGGGACAGCCTCTTCCAAACCACTACACCCTATTAAAGACAACAACAACAACAAAAGCTTGGCATGGTGGCCCATCCTAATACTGGGAAGGCTGAGACAGGTGGGTCCTCTGCTCCTTGTCCAGCCAAACTAGCATACTTAGCCAATTTCTAGGCTGGTGAGAGACCCTTTCTCAAATAGCAAACATTATGACAGCACCTAAAGACTTATCACAGAGGTTGTCCCCTGTCCTTTATTGTAGGCACATAATCAAACGCAAGCAAGTATGCACGCACACACACAGGTGTTTCACAGCAATGCTAGACTGTACCATCTCTAGTAGTATCAATACATCTTACAGTTGTTATACTTGTGTCTGTGTGCTGGGTTATACTGTAATGCTTTCTCTGCCTGTAGTTGCAGTCCTCCAGAGGTCTACGTCTAAGCTTGTGGTGAGGGAACAACTATAGGTTCAGCACATTAGAACCCGGTCTACTCCCAGGGTCAAGGCTTGTTTCAGCTCTGCCTCCTTTACTGCCTTTGACCTCTTCTGTACTGCCCCAGCTTGATGCCCCAACTCATAGCCTGCATTGCCAGTGGACGTTCGTTTTCCAGCTCTGTCTTTGCTGTTTGTGTAACCACAAAGTAGAGCTCAGGCTTCCTGCCACCACAGATGCCAATAAGCCAAGCTAAGAATTAGCCTTTAAATTACACAGATCTGAGAAGGCCAAACGATATCCTAGAAACATTCCATCTTGTCTCCGGGCAGCAGACTTTAGGACATGGCAACAGGGGCCACCCATCATTCCACAGTTAGCCTTGGCTCTGAGGTTCCTGGCATTTCTCCATCTGTTTCCTTGCCCTCCACTTTCCCCTCTTAAGGCTTCTCTCTGTGCAGTGAGGTTTGGATGCCCCCAAGGCCACTGAGCCTTGAGCACCACTCGGTTAGAAGCCACTTGGAACAAACAAGTCCTTAGTCTCTTTCCTCTCTTCCTCTGTCTTTTCTTCCCCCCCACCTCCACCCCGCTGTGTGTGTGTATGTGTGTATGTGTAAATTCCTTTCTGTAATTTGAAGCCCAGTGTGACCTGTCATTTTTAGTAAGCTCTAAGTAACTTTGTTAGCTTGCCACCTTGCTCAAAGGTGTCTCTGAGGATAAATAGGAAAATGAGCCCAGTTTCTCTGCCTCCAGTCTCTACTCAGTACCATCAACACAGAGGCTTCTTTGACAAGTCCTCTTGTTCACTCTGGCTGGATGGCTGTGGGTGCTGGTTTGATGCCCTCATTCTCCATTCAGTAGGTTTGTGGAGCTACTGGTTAAACCCAAGGACATGTGCTTGTGTTGCTGGGTTAGTATAAAGTGTTACAAAGGGTGAGATGCAGAGGCGCGCAGAATGGAAAGTCGTGCAGCACAGCGCAGGGCCTGTGCTCTCTGGTGCTGCATTCACAAACCTTCTTCCTCCCCTGGGCATTTGGAAGCTTTCTAAGCTTAGTCTTCTGTCATTTAATGGAAGTGTTGTCCTGTAGGAAGATGGAGTCACTGCTGTCAACTTGAACTTTAACCACTTTCCTGTTCCTGGATCTTGCAGGTTGAGAATAAAAAGTCCTAAACCCTCAACTCACCTTCAATTCCTTGTGACTAGTTCCATCCCTAAGCTATTTAGGGGCCACCAAGCTGGTTTTTAGATCAACCTGAGGTTTAAATAATATTAAGTAATTTTCTAAGATCTTCTGAGAGCGGTTTGGTTGCATTGTTGGGATTTGAATGTAGACAGAGCTTCAGAGTGTGTACTCTGCATTTTAAATGTTCCTTTTTACAGAAATTAAATTATCCATAGCTTTATTTATTATTTACATATACAGAGAAATGAAGAAAAAAGAACTATTTATTCCATTTTCAAGGAGAGTGCTATTTTATTTTTAAAAAGTTTTACATAAAGTAATGTAAGGCTGAATGATGTTCAGAAGGGTCCAGACTGTGCGCTCTCCCGCATCAGTTCGTTACTAAGGTCTCCACAGTCCCAGGACTTAGATGGTGTTAGTTAAGACTTGTCTTCCTTTTCCCCTTGATACCTACAGGCTGACTGTTTCAGTATTGCCATCTATAGCGTTTGTCAGCGTCTCATCCGCTCTGTCCTCAGTGTCACGCAGGGCTTTGTGATCATGTGAGTCGTTTTCTCATTGTGTCACTGTATTGACTTTGTAACTAGAGCACAAATTGGAAGAAGAGGAGGTATGCTGGCTGCAGTATGTCTGTGACCTTACAGGTCCCCTGTGATGTACCCTCCCCGGGCTCATTCTCAGTCCAGTCTTTATCACCCAGCCATGATTCCAGAGTTTTAGATGATGTGGCAGGGTGTTTACCTCAGTCTATTTTACAGATAGGTTTTCTTCTAGTGGTTTTAAAACCAAAAATAACAAAACCTTGCAAATTTTTTGGAGGGGCGGTAATAGGAATATTGTTCAATACTGTCTGATAGAAATATCTGTTCAATATCATCTGATAGGAATATATGTTCAATACCACCTGATAGGAATACCTTTTCAGTACCATCTGGGACTTTTCCTATGGCTTTGCTTTTCACAATCATTTGCATTAGAGACAGCAATTGACATCTGTGTATCTCCTAATAACCTGATGCTGGTGTGGTAATCATTACACAGTGAG